CTGTTTGGAGTCTGTTTGGAGGCTGTTTGGTGGTGGTTTTGGAGGCTGTTTGGATAAACCCGTTAACCAGAGCCAGGTTAGACTTTTAGGTGACCCGGGAGTCGCTGCGCGTTATTTATTTTATTTTATTATGTTTCTGTTTCTGTTTATGCATTTGGCAGACGCTTTTATCCAAAGCGACTTACAGAGTAGACACAATATTACATTTATCATCACTATGACAGTAAGCTATACAGAGGAGAAACACTGATCAGAGTCAGTGGTGAGATAGAGATAGAGGTAGAGGGACTACAGAAGGAGCTGTGGGGGGTAGAGGTACGGGTTAGGGTTAGGATAGGAGTCTTATTAATTAATTAATTAATTAATTAATTTAATCTGGACAGTGCACATTAATAAACAATCTTACACTTCTGTACAGATTGTAAATGAGCCAGATTCTAGCATACTTGCTAATTTACATCTGTGGTCCTGAGGCAGGAAGACAAAACAACACAAGATCACAAAACACAATATCAGTCAAAACACACAGACACACGTTCAGTTAATGACATTACAACAATAAAATTAGTGAGTGCATGACTGGGAACTTTTAAGAAACTGTTTAAGGTGCTTTTTAAATGTGCAATAGCTGGGACATTCCCTGATGTTTGTTGGGAGAAGTGACCCCCTCTGACTGGTAGAGGTTTGTCCAGAGGTTGTTCTTCTGTGGGGAATCTCTAGGTCTCCTCTGGTGCAAATACGTCTTGCTTTTATTCGGATTGGTTTATTTGAGAAAACATCCTCTCTCAGGGCTTGTTACCGTGGAGACCCGTGGACCACCGGTCACTCATGACGGTCACCTACACGGCCAGAGTCGCCAACGCCCGGTTCTGCGGCTTCTCCAAGCTGCTGCTGGCCTGGAAGGGCAGCATCTACAAGGTTCTGTACAAGGAGTTCCTGGCTTTTTTTGCCATGTACTCCGCCATCAGCATCACCTACAGGTGAGAACACGTACCTGCCGAGGGCGTTTATCGGTCATTTGGCAGCACTCAGTAATTCGGTTTTCCTCATTTAAAAAAAACAACTCTTAGATTTTTCCTGGATGATGACCAGAAGAGATATTTTGAGAAGCTGGCCATTTATTGCAACCACTACGCCAGCCTCATCCCCATGTCCTTCGTCCTGGGTAAGCCACATGTTGAAAAGATATGAAGATATTTTGTATTTGTGATGTTTTAGTGTGTGATTTGTTCCGTTGTGTACAGTCGCTGTGTTTCGTGTAAAGGCCTAACTGGGGGACAGGCATTGAGAATTATCCTTATAGCTAAAATGTTGTAGTGTGTGACATGTTTCATGAAACATACTTGTCCCTATCACATAAACGAATAAATAAAATGAAAATAAATAAGCTAATTTGGGCACTTTGGGTCACGAGCCTCCACTCATTTCTTTGTAAAATAAACAGAAAACCGTTAAAGGCTGCAGTTTACTGAAATGTGAAAGCCTCTTCAACCAACTTTTTCTAAAAAAACCTCTTCTCTGGATCTTGGCTGCTCCTTTTTCTGTTTCCACTGATTTTCTGTCCACTTCTGACGTCATGAGTCTCGAGTTTCCCTCCTTCTATAGGATTTCTCTTTCAGATCCTCCTCATTTGACGTGGACACTTGTCCAGTTTCCTCCGATGGCTGAAGGACACACTGCTTAGATATGTGTCCAGATAATAGCCCTTTGGGATTCACATTGGTTGTGTGTTATCTTTTTTTTGTGGATGGCACTAAAATGGAAACAAAGTGTGTGTCTTTGTAACAGAGTTCCAAAGAAACATTTTAAAACTGGTTCTTTGCGCAGTTGTCTGCTGTCCCTCGTATTTAAAAATAGCCAAACAAGAAGATCTATTCCTCTAGAAATGATCCGGTATGAAGAACTTGACTTGGAAATAGTGAATAAATAGTTTATGTCCAAAGACCATCAGAAATCTCCCACTTAAAGACACTTTAAAAGATTTTAATGAATACTTTTTACCATCACGAGTGATGAAAAAGTACTCACTTTGCATCAATCTTTAGTTGATAAAATCCTGATTGTTTGACTTCTACAGATTTTGTAAATGAAAATAGATGTTTTTTTACTTGATTGATTAGCAATAGCATGGATGAAAGTATTAAGAATAGGACCTCAAAAGAGACGCTCACCTGTTCCATAGAGTTTGTTAAACTACAATCTTACTTTTAGTTAATCTTTTTCTAGATTCCTTCTCTTTTTTTCTCTGTTGCTTCAAGTTCAGACACTTTGCCGGTGTGACAAATTATGTCCTGACCCTAACCCTAACCCTAAACCTAACCCTGACCCTGACCCTAA